GCTGTGTAATTTAAATAGGTCGGCTGGTACTCGGCTTGAATAAAAATAAAAATTTACAGCTTCAGGATTAAATTAACATAAAATTTTATTCATATTTGTATGACAGGAATAGTTTAGTGGAACACAAAATTTTATTCATGAAGAATTTGTGGTACAGGAATAGCACATATAGTGCAGGTGTTCTCAACCGGTGGTACGCGTACCACTGGTAGTACGCAACAGAAAAATAGGTGGTGCGAAAAGAAACAAAGTAGTTTTAACTATTAAATTCAAAAATTAAAACCCCGACATTCTGATTGAGTTTTTTTCTCTAACAGTCGTAAATTTATGCGATCTGAGCTTTGTTCAAGAGTGGTGGTGTGTAGTAGTACTTTGTAGTGGTAGTACTAAAGGTTTTCAATTTTTGTTTAGATGGTACGCGTTAGTCAAAAGGTTGAAAACCGCTGGTATAGTGGAATACAAATTTTATTCGTCCTGAATTTGCGATACAACAGTAATACAGTATACACAACAAAGGTTAAATCTTGGCGTCATTAAATTTACACTTAGTCTACCTATTTTCAGCATTTAGAAAAATAAAATATGGAGGCCTTAAAAGACATCTCGACTAAATATCGCCGGTTATTATACTAAATTTTAGTTAACATTCGAGCTGAAACTCAATATTTTAACGGGAAACTCAAAAACCACCGACATTTTCTCTTCAACAAAATCCAATAACTGGGTGAGATATCCTAGGACAGCGAGCATATTCGCCTCCACTTTTCTATCCTAACATATGTTGTAGTTAACAATCGCCCGTATTTAAATTCCTTGCGCTTGGCCTGTACAGCCTTCTGAAATGAGAGAATAAATGTGATATATGTGTACGCGAATATATGTGACGAAAGATAGACAGAATAGACGGTATATAATCTAAAGTTTAATTGCTAATAAAAACTTAATTATCCCAAAGCAGCGATATCTCAGGAAAGCTCTTAATTATTTTAAAAATGCAAATAAAAAACTGGTATATGTTTTATAATGGGAAACCTAATCACATCCTGTGAACAGCTATTTAATATAATCGTAAAAGAAAATAACATTTTTTGTTAATTCTCTTAGCAGCTAACCAGGAAGAAAAGAGAATTATTTATGAAGATTAATTTTTAGTTCAGAAACATTTACTGATCTCTATTCATTTAACCTTTGTACGGTTGGTACTAATTCAAAGTTATATTATTTATAGGACCCTAGGACCATTCGCAGGGCTAATCTTAGGACCAAAGTTTTACAGTAAGTATTATGTTTAATGACAAGTTTCTTCTTATTTCTTTATTGAAGGAAATGAAGGAGAAAATGTTGCAGTTTCTTTTTTTCCCCGAAAATGTAACTGTGGTCTCGAACCCTACCAGTGTCGGTTCTTTTAGTTGGATCTTCATCGAAGTAGGGACCAGTTTCATGGATAGATAGGTAGGGAGACAATTAGCTAGATGAAAATATATAATAGTAAATAACTAGATAAAGAGGTACGTAGACAAAATAACAGATAGGTAGATGTGTTGCTGACGCTGTTAAATAAAAGCGACACTGTTTGACATTAATTAATTTATTATTTACATCATCGCTGTCATAATAATAGAAATTCCTCATACATTTTCTTTTAGCAGTTTCCTCTCATACATTACTCATACTTTCCCTCTCATACACACCAAACATATAGTACCAATTACTGAGTAGAAAATTAGGAAAAGTAAGTCGAGTAAACATACGACCATGCTGAATTTAAGTTTGAGTTATTTTTAGATAGGAATGAGTTGGTTGGATGGGCCGAAAATGGCTTTCATCAAAACATCGGATGTCTAAGTATTTCTTAGATAACCTTTTAAGCTATGCGGAGTTCACATCATTACTGGGGGCGATGAAAATAATGTTAAGACTTGTACTAGGCAGATAAACCTCTGCTTACGTAGATTACATAGCAGTAAGTAGTAACTCGATGGATGAGTATTTTCAAGGTTTCTAAGAACTTTTTACACTATAACAAGAAGTGGGTCTAACACTGAAGGCACAAAAATGTAAAGTTCCTTCCTCGGATAACAAATATCGCATTAAGGTATTGATGTAGAAGAATAAGCAAAAGTGAATTTAAAACATACCTCCCGCAGACAGACTAAGGCGAAGAAGCTAACTTCGCTGTAACTTCTGTGGGTGCGTTCACACTGTGTGACGTACATTCAGATCTTTGCGGAAATTCAGAATACTTGTTAAATTTTAAATTGAAAAATCAAAATTTAGTTTCGTCATCAAAGGTCGATACAACTTTGAGATGCTTATATCTGCTTTGATTTAGCTCTGGACTTAAAATTTCGTTGCTGCAATGTAAGTTAGAATAATCCGCAGACGCATCTAATTTTGCGTTAGGAACTATGTTTATGCAGGATGGTAGACCGGCTGCTTATTTTAATAAATCTCTTAATCAAATACAGAAATTTACACGACTACAGAAATAGAGATACCGGAGATTCTGTTAGCTGCTCAGAAGAGTGTATTTGCAAAGAGCCGATAATAGTGCATACTGATCACGGAGCAATCACCTATCTGCATTCGGTATAAAATATACTGCCAAGTTTAACAGGTTGGGACCTCAAGTTGTAGAAGTGTATTGTAAAATTAAATACACACCGAAACAACGAAATATTGCGTGCTGTATCGAGAATTAAATTGCTTGAGAAGAAAATAAACAAAATGTACAATGTTAACTTTGAAAGTCTAAGTTTCATGACAGACAGTAATAAATGTGTTAAAGGTGGATCACGAGTTTAAAAATACATGTGCTTAACTAAAGGATCCATAAAATTTTGAATGCCCCAGTATTACAACAGAAAAATTATGAAATTATCCGTGAGGTGTTTTTTTTTTTTTTCAATATAGGAAAAAAAATGTCAGGTCCTCTCAGCAGTCCTAAGATTAAGTATGTTGAATAAAATGTATGATGTTCCTTTATTAGGCCATCTAGACAAGAGACAAGCAGGGCGGAAGGTAGATGAGTAAAACAGAATATTTCCCTTAACTGAAAGCATTTCTAAATGGCATATGCAAATTAATTAATAATATAAATTATAACCCGGCTTAGCACTTTAATAAAATTAAAGCATTATTATATTATGAAATTGCTGAAACAGTCCCTTAAAATGCAGTCCTTTTAAAATGCAGGACCCCGCTAGAAGTAAATTTTTGTTACTCATCCCGCAGTTCATGAGTAAGATTTTTGAGGAAATGCTTGCAGGTCCATTTATTAAGTATTTTATGTTGGTCCCTTATCGTATGTATCTAATGTATCAGAATGGATAATATATCAGATGTAATGATCAGTATGTAATGATCTAATGTATCAGACTGTATAAAGAGGAATACAATTAAATTTATCTGGAAAATGTAAAAAGTGGAAATATCTAAACATTTATCTGGCAATTTTATCTGAACGTATTTGAAAACACCTGCAGAATTACATTTTTAAGAAAGAAGTTTATAACTCAGTTGGACAAACTGTTCTTTGTACTAAAAATGATAGAGGACTTTACGATTGTTATGCAATAGATAACTGACGAGATAACCAATAATTCGGATAAAGCCCGCTCAAGACTGAAACTATATTATGATAAGAAAAGACTCGAGAAAAAATTTATGATCAGAGATAGTATAGAAAATGAAGTATTCTCTTCCTTTACCACATGTGGAAAGGATCGGAGAGCTCTGCCCTAATTTCGAGAGACCATTACGAAGTGTTAGCAGCTGTGGTAGTTTGATAATTCCGTAGTTACCATAAATGTGGATCAAATTAAATCTCTCTGTGAACGAACTGACCTGCCCTTACTAAGGGAAGTTCTAGGTACTGCCACTGCAGAAATTCAGCCAGGTAAGTCTGACAGTAGTCAAGCCAAGGGAGGTTAGATCAAACCGTGCGCGCATTTAAACCTGCTGCGGGTCTCCCACGGAAATGAAGACAGACCGTTATAAAGGGATGTTCGAAGCAGCTTTAGGTGGAGCAAGCGCCGACAGAGGAATCAGACCACAGCTTTTCAGAAAGATAGGCTAGACTTACGCCCAAGAGAACAATTAAAAGTGCATATGCCCGCTAAAATGGCAGCTCAGTGTCTCGTGTCTACATCGGTACGAAGCCTGGAAAACAAACTGCTCATACAACAGCACAGGTATGCTACGAAGATGGATGGAGAACACCGATTTTAAGCCAGCGGCGCCAGTAATGGAGAAAATTATCAAGCTACCACTCAATGACATCTTAAATTAAAAAAGATATAACAAATTATGCTGCAACCAACCAGGAAGGAGACAACAATAGTATGAGGATGATTAGAAGAACACAGACATCCGTTAAAAAGGAGTCAGGTGGTAATAGAACACGGCTTAATTGAGAATAATTTATCTATGATGTGCTGACTTATAGTAGGATCATGTCTCTGAGTGAACACATTAATAAAGCCAAAAGTAATTTTTATTTAAACAGATAAGCAAATTAAGAAAAGGAGTTGTAGTTACTATTTAATAAGTGAAATTAAGCCTGAGTTTATTTATGTAGATGAAAAGTTTCATTACAATCGATGCTTTATTTGAATGTATTACGTTTACTTTTTATATTTCGCACTTCCGAATCAAGAAAATGAGGCTTTCGATTATATGATATTTTACGTAGTATTAAGTATAAGCTTTACGTAGTATTGCGTAGTATTAAGTTGGTGGTATTAAGCTGTTCCTAGCTCACCTTGCTGTAATATGAAGTTCGGCTGTAGCAAATGAAGTCTGATTATGTAACTGTGCAAAAATTTTAAACTTAGCATCATTGTTACTGTCATAAATGCGTCAGACGGAAAAAGTTCTTTCTTCTAACACATAATAATTCTTAAACGCAGCAGAAATCGTCATTAAAGGTGTCAGTAGTTGACGTAAAAATATTAATTCTTATTACATGCGTAAAATATTGGGTTGTTTTTCTAGCTTACCTGCTGTTTAGTTATGTAGATGGGCTTATTCATAACAATCCATGTCACAGTTTCGTAACAGCCGGGCATCGTAGTTGATCCTTCATACGTCATGTAGTACTGTGTTTCAGGTAAAAGATCACGCAGAGACAAATATTTCAGTTGAGCTTCCTCACCTAAAAAGAAAATAAACATATGATTTAACAGCGCCTTCTTTACTTTAGTAAGGTTGTGATGATGTTAACAACATTTTAGCTCTCCAAAAATGTTCCGTCAGTTCTTGAAAGTTATTCATACCAGAAACACATAGCTGAAGGAATATAAATATTTATTGTAATTTTAAAGGAATTCCATTCTGTAATTTCCTTACCTTCAATCTGATATTAACTGCAGCTGCGTTTTAACTGGCGCAGTTGTAGGGTGTTCCAGAAACAGGGACACCCTGTAAAGCATGTAATATATATAGAAAATAGCACAAAAGCAACAATTAATAAATTAGTTCACTTTTTGGCAATAAATTCCTGATATCGCAAAAGTTTTCCTTTTTATGATTATTTACTATTGAATGCTCAAGGTGTATTACTATACTGCCAATAATAGAGTATTTTGCAAGCGAATACGAACTATGTCAAGGTGGTTGAGCTATTTATGTGCCAAGTTGCACATGGTGTGTGTAAACAATTGCTGAACTAGTTTTTAAAAAAACATTTAAAACATTTATTTTCTGTTTAGTAAATTTTTACTTTCTTACATTTAGGTTTTAACATTTTGACATACCTTAAGTAGGCATTTTCTGCTAAACTAAGATGAGAAATACTTAAAAATAATTTCATGGTTAGTGATAGTAGATTATCACATGTGAATCACTGATAATATTTTAGGATGTTAAGAACACGTACTGCTATTTTATTTATCTCAATTAAGTAGACGTTTTTTCTTGTTATTTGATATTTCAATATATGACATAACATTATACATGGATATAAATTAATCTACAACTTAGCAAGGAATATGTTTCCCGTTATTCTAAATAGGAGGCAAAACTGCAAAGTTAATTATGCATGTTTCTGCAATTTCGTTACGTGTTTTTAGCACTAGCATAACTAAACCTATTAGGCTCCAATTTTGCATATTATGGCTAAAAATTAACTTCTGCGGTGGAAATGCAATGGTTTATCTCTTATCATCATATCTTTTAATCTATTTAATCCTGTGGCTGTGAGATTAAGCAATTCTTTCTTCTCAAATACGCGTGATATTTGTCAGTCGTAAATTTGTAATGTTAGCTGTGTTCACTTGCGCTCACAGTGGCGCATAACTGGAATGCGATCTGAGTTCGCTGATGACCATCAAAAGGGTAAGTTCTGCAAATAAGACCACCATGTACCAATTAGAGAAATTTGATATTAAGGTTTAAATGATGGTCATATACTTTTAAACTGAAATTATAATCTGTAATTATAACTGAAATAGTAATGGAGATAACTGGAATTACAATGGACGAAGCAATAAAATTATTCTAAATTTACATTAGAAACATCTTTAAAACACTGCATCCAAAAATAATTAAATTCTTATGCCCACCATGTTACCTCATTTTACCATGCCTCGGTAACGATAAGATTTGGAAAGCGTTATTATAGTTGCATGGAACCTAAGTATTTTAATTTACATCGCGGTATCACAATAGCCATATATGAGACTATTGCCATTTGATAACGCGTAGGATACATATTTTTCAAATTTAATCACTCTGGAACTGTTCAACTAGCTGACTGATTGAATTAAATAATTCTTTAGAGTTTAGATCTTTATTTTTTAATAAAACAGCTCATTGATTTTCTATAAAAATACACTTTTTTCGGCAAATTCAATGGATGTTTTCAACCATAAGATGCAACAGAATTGTTGAAAATAAAAATTTGATTATTCGTTGTAGGAATAACCAATAAGTTTTTTTTTCTACTGGAAATTTGATGGAAAACATGTTGTTGAGACAAAAAAGGTGAAAATAATAAGAAAAAAAACTTAAAAACATATTTAGAAAACAGGCTCTTATTAAACGAATAATAAACTAAAAGTAGAAAGATAATTTATTATATAGTTTAATGAGAACAATAGATTGAATAATTCTCTTTGCAAAATTCATCTGTAATTTTATTTCACGAATAATAAAAGCACCAGCTAACGAAATTTAATAAACGAATTTCATTATCAAACATATAATCGTCAAACTAAAAAATTTATCATTGGCCTTCCACGATTTTACCTTTCGTGGTATAAAGTTGCAGATGAATTTTGTAAAGATAATTATATAATCTCTTGTTCTCATCATAATATACGGTAATATTTTTTCTACATTTAGTTCATTAATTTTTAAATAAAAGCTTAGTTTATAAAAAGAATTTCTTAAATTTCTTTTTAATACTCATGAGCTATTCCAATCAAATCTGAAGCAGGCTTACTTCCATTTGCAAACCGTGCGATGACATCAAAATAGTGCCGGAAGTGGCCATGCTTCCAGACATCATTGATTCTAGTGAAATGTATTATGGGACGTCCTGTCATAGCTGCCACTAACTGAACTGCTTCCTTGATGACCGTTTTCAAGAGATCTATGTTTTGTGATTTATTTGCACAACCACATCTTTTTAAGATATCACCATAAAAATAAAGAGGCGGCTTCAGATCAGGGAAACAAAGCGACCAAATTACCTTCGTAATTATGAGGCTGGTGGAAGAAATAGAACTTAGCCATACTGGCGCGTAATATGAAGTAAGTAGGTTCGTTCTGCACGAAAGGTTCAATGTGTAATTCAGTTTTGCCTAGCAGATTTTTCAACGGTATTAAAAATTTATACATATGAAGTTAGCTGTTTAGAATAGGAGTGGATTTGTTATGCATCCGTTTAACAAATCAACACCAGTATTCGCAGAATGAAAGTATATTTTATGTGTCTCTTTGGGATTCTGTCTTCAGAAATACGGGAATTAGGAGAATTAATTACAACTACTCGTGATATCACGCCTCATCCGAGGGCCATGTGTTCACCAAAATACTCAAATTTTCTGGGAAGATGTACCCGAAACCATCATCAATAAGCAACATTTATTCTCTTGATCAGGTTGTTTAAATTCATTGACCAACGAGATACTGCTCAATAAAATTTCACTTTTTCCGCAGCACGATGACATGTGCTGCTGGAGAAATACAGGGTGATCAGCGAATAAGCCCTGATTTCAAAATTAAATATCTCTACAACAAAGATCGATAGAATTATGCGGTAAACTGTAAGTTCATTAGCAAAACTGTAAAAATGGTGTACAAAAGTTTAGAAATTTAGTTACGAAATTGTTAACAGATGGCGCTCTGCGCCGAAAACGTCCTTCTCTGAAAGGAGTAAAAAAAAAACCCAATAATAAAGTGGAACTTTGCAATCAAAATAAAATTTTTTCAAAATGTTCACCATTCGAAACAATGAGGTGGCATAAACGAACGGTGAAATTTGACGTCGCGTCTTGCAGTGTCTCAACGGAAAGGGAATCACATGCAACACCAATCAATGATTCAAGCTCATCTAGAGTAGTGGGATTGTTTTGATAGACAGTGTCTTTCAATATGCCCCACATGTGCCCCACAGAAAGAAGTCACAAGGACTCAGATCGGGATAATATGGAAGCCAAGCTATTCCTGTGTCAGTAAATTGCGGATATCTAACGCAATTACTCTATTTCCCAAAGTATTCATGAAGAAAGCGAAAAAACTTTATCTGTTCGACGTGGTCGAGCCCCATCTTGCATGAACCAGTCGATACCTGGTCGATCCTCCAATGCTAGTTGAGTGCTGACAAATTGTTCCAAAACTGTAACGTAGCGTTCAGTAGTTATCGTTTCTCGTACGAAAAAATGGTCCGATAATGCCTCTGGCGCATACAGCAGCCCATGCAGTAACTTTAGGCGAATGCAGTGTTTTCTTTTCACACAAATGAGAATTTTCGGTACCCCAAAATCTTTGAGCCCCTTCTTTTGAGCTATGGGGACACTCGTGTCCAGGTGGGCTGAAGGAAGCCTCCAATTCTTACAATTCTTACCCCAAAATCTCCAGTTTTGTTTATTAACGATTCCATTAAAATGAAAATGTGCGTAATCTGTGAACCAGATGCAGCTCACATCAAATCTGTCGTTGTCGACCATTGTTAGAATCTGATTCGCAAAAGTCAATCCTTTGTTGCACAGCTTTCATGGGTATGGCCCTATGGCCCGATCACTTTGGATTTTGTATGGAAACACGTGCTCGTGTACTTCAAACCTGTCTCTGATGCCATCAGTCGGATGCTTTTCCTAGGATTTTGCTGAACAATCCCAGAAACTTTGGCTGCATTTTCAGGAGTGACTACAGTTTGCCTAGGCCCAACATTTCCCTTTCGATCATCAGCCACGATGCCAGTCCGCTCAAATTTCGCGAATGGTTTTCACATCGGGACCAACTGGAACATTGAATCGGTTTTGAAAACTGCGACGTGTTGCCGTAGGACTGTGTTCTAATTGGTGAAATTCTAGAACCAAAAAAACATGTTGTTCAATGGAATACATTATTTCACTTTCTACGCTAGCTTTTTTTCACTAGCAAACAGTCGTACTGATCCTTTTCAAATTCAAAGCACATTTTTAAAGGCTATTGATAGGTCATTACGATTTGAGCGCCATCTGTTAACGATTTTCGTAACTAATTTTTCTAAACTTTTGTACACCATTTTTACAGTTTTGCTAATAAACGTACAGTTTGCCGCATAATTCTATCGATCTTTGTTGTAGAGATATTTAACTTTAAAATCAGTGCTTATTCGCTGATCACCCTGTATGATTGCTGCGAAAGTTAATGCAGTGGCTTCACGACAGAAGCAAGAAATCGGTCTTTTGCATTTTGGGTTGTTTCTTTCGCTATTTTGGGGGGAAATGCTCAATGATATTTCAGTCACCTTGATCTCACATTTTAAGTCTCTTTGTTTAAAATTTATTCTATAAGGTCCAAGTGCTGGACTTTATCGACGGATGATGGTTTACGAGATTTATGCAAGAACTGCTTTTTATCGGTTCCATTTTCCAATAAATGTTGTCCAATATAAACTTGCCAAGTAAGAAAACGCTCATATATTTTTCAACCAGTATTTGAGAT